ATGCTATGGAATATTATTTGGCAATATAAAAAATTAGGTACAGCCAGGCATGATGACATGTACCTGTAATCCTAGCACTCTGAGAGGCTGAGGCAGTAGAATTGAAAGTTTGAGCTCACCTGGGACAACTTAATGATTTAGGCAGACTCTATCTCAAAAAATAAAAAAGGGCTGGAGATGTAGCTCAGTGCAAATGCCCTAAGGTTAATCCTAAATACCTCCCCCCAACCCCTCAAAAGAAAAAAGAAATGAGGTACTGACACATGTTACAACAGACAGGAACTTTGAAAACATTACACTAACTGAAAACAACTGGGCACAAAAAGGCACATAGGATTATTTTTATGTGAAATGTCTAGAACCTACAAATTCACAGACGCGAAAAAATAGCAGTCGCCCAGGGGCAGCAGGGAAGAGGCAGCAGACAGTGGCTGTTTACAGGTTTATCTGGGGAGTGGTGACAGTGCTCCGGCGCTGGCGGTCACAGCTGCACAGTAGCATGAGCGCGGGAAAGCCACTGAATTGTGCCCTTCAAGCGGGTTAAAAATGATTAAATGTATGCTGAATTTTACTGCATTTTTAAAAATTTTTTAACAAAGTATACAATTTATTAAGAAATTAATGGACAAAATGGATAGAAGCCTGGGCCGACCAGCAAAGACGCAGGATTCCTAGATTCAGAGACGGGAGGAAGGGGCTTACATGCTACACTAGACAAAGGTATGTATGTAAGCTTTGTCAAGAACTCTTAACACATCAGAGGTCAGTGAAGAAACAGCCCAGGTACCATCAGTGCCTGGCGCCAGGTACTCAGCTGTCTTCAGGACTTTACGGGGTAGGGTTTGGCACGCAAGCCAGAATCCTTCGCTTGGCAAGATGCTGGTTATCACCAAGATGCAATTTTTAGAGGCTCTATGAGATGTTGTTTGTACATTACAGACCAGACACAGTCAGAATCAAATCAGCTGCACACCCAAACCCTTCCACCTAACCCTGGCTGCAGCCTGCGACTGAGTGACCCGTGTCAAACCCAGCCCCGCCAGGCGGAAGCTCTCACACAGGCCTACAGCAAGAACTACTCCAACGTTCCCGGAGGGCTCCTGCGTGCACGCGGCCATAGCGAAGACGTTTGCCCTGCAGCTAGGACATAAGCCACAGGGTCGCTCTGACTGATGCACTGTCCCCACGAGGGAACCCAAGCGAACTGAGCTGGCGGGGGCGGGGCGCGGGAAGGATGGGAAGGGGGGTGAGGGATGGAAGGGGGAGGGGGAAGAGGGGAGGGAAGAAAGTGGGACGGGGTGCAAAGCCCCGGCGCGCGGGGAGGAGCGGGGAGGAGCGGGGAGGAGGCGCCCTGCTCTCCACCCCTGGTACCCGCAACCCCAACCCCCCGCCCGGCTTGCTCCTCTCCGGAGCCCCAAAGGGTCCCGTGCGCGCCGCTCCTGGCGCCAGGCGGGCCGTGCTACTTCCAGAAGTGGGGAGACTAGGAGCAAGAGAAGTGAGACCCCAGCCTGGGCCGCAGCGTTTAAGGGACGCCAACTACAGTAGGTCAAGAGAAACACTAATAAAAATATTCTTTCAGTTAGGGTTAATAAGTTAAATAAGGAGCTATGTTGGAGTCTGAAGCAAAAGGGAGATTCTAATCCTGTCTTTAATTTGAATTTTTTTTATTCTAAAAAATAAAAGAAGGAAAACATATTAACAGACATCCATTTACAAAATAGCATAAGAACAATACAAACAAAACAGAGTTATATACCAAGTGGTAGGAAATTAACCATGGTTGTTGTGTTACTTTTTGATATCTTCAAAGTGGTTTCTCAGGAAAACAGACATATAAGATTGATCAAACAAGTAATCATTAACTGTTCCTTTCTGTAGAGCAACAGAAGACAGTAGTACAACTACGTTAGCTAGCCTGTATATACATAGTTACGTAATGTCCCCTTCTTTCCCTTCTCTTTTCCCAGACCCCAGTTGCCCTTTACATTTGAGCATTTTCCTTTCGTTTCACAATGTCTATCATACCTCCTAGTTTTTAGTCACTCTTTCAGGTCTTACACTAGTGAGACAATACGATGCTTACACACACAGGTCTGATTTATTTCATTTATGAGTATGGTCTCTAGTTGTGACCATTTACCTATAAAAGCCTCGAGTTTATCTTTCTTTATAGCTGAGTAATATTCCATTATATAAAAGTACCAAAATTTTCTTATCCAATCCTCGGTGGATGGACATTTGGGTTGCTTCCACAATTTAGCAGTTACAAATTGTGCTGCTATGAACATGGGTGTACATATGCTGCTGTGATATGATGTTTTCAGATCTGGGAAAATACCCAGAGGGGAATAGCTGGGTTGAATGGGACTTCTAGACAGCGTTTGCTGAGGAATCTCCAGACTGATTTCCACAGTGGTTTCACCAGTCTGCATTCCCACCAGCAGTGAAGAAGAGTTCCTATTTCTCCACAGCCTCGCCAGCATTTATGATTGGTTGATTTCTTAATGCTAGCCATTCTTACTGGGGTAAAGTAGAATCTCAATGTTGTTTTAATTTGCATTTCTCGAATGACTAATGATGTTGAACATTTTCTCATGTATTTATTTGCCATTTGTATTTCTTTATCTGAGAAGTGTGTATTCATCTCAGCCGCCCATTTTTGGATTGGGTCTTTGCATCTGGGGGGGCTGATGTTTTTTAACTCTTTATACGTTCTAGATAGAAGCCCTTTGTCCAAGGGACAGTAAGCTAAAATTTTTTCCCAATTTATGGGTTTTCTTTTTACTCTGCTGGTGATTTCCTGTCTTTATTTAAATCCTTGGTTTTTTATTTGTTTGTTTTTTGAGACAGGATCTTGCTATATGTTCAGGCTGGCCTCAAACTCACCGCAGTCCTCCTGCCTCAGCCTCCCCAGTGCTGGGATTACAGGCTCGCGCCACCACGCCCAGTTTTAAATTTTGATATTTTGTTTACAGTGTATTTCTTTTGCGTCTTTAAGTGTTGCATTATATGTTTAATAGTTATACTGAGTATTTTGAGTACTAAGTACTGTGTGTCCCATTAATTTTGTGCTGTAGGGGAACAGCAGGGTCGCTATACTTGCCTCATCCTGCGGGGGGTGTGGGGGGGTGGGTGGTGCTCTGCCTTGCAGTCACCTTCAGTGCGGTGGTGGCAGAAGTCTAGCGACCTTGTCTCTCCCAGCGCGTGCCTGATGGCTAGCAGGGAATTTCCAGAGGCTCAGGGACGGGGTTGTAGGAACCCTTTAGGCTTTTCCAAGACAGTGGGTCAGGGGAGGGCAGGAAAAGAAGGGTTACAGTAGCTTCCAGGATACCAGCTCCTACCTTACAAATGAGCGTATTAACATTCCTCCTACTACATTAATTAGTAGTTTTATTATTTTAAAAATAAAATTTAAAACTTCTTTATACCTCTGTGGTTTTTTAAATCCAGTAAATATTATGTAACACTAAGTATAATACAAATAAGGATCCATTAACATTTCTGTAACCGCACTCACCCTGGGCATGAATTTCTAGGGTAGTAAACTGAAGAAACAAAATCATGTGCGTATCTAAGATCAGACTTTCCTCGCTGTCAGGGTCTTCTCTCCTTTTATGGTAATACTATAGAAGAGGTTTCCTTATTATGCAGCTCCTGTGTGCCCGCTACTTGCTGAATGCGTTATATGTGACTCTCATTAGTGATATTTTTACCCTTAGGCCCTGTTTTCTGCTCCGATGTGGCCATTTCTCAAGAAATCCCCTTATAGCTGCCGACTAAAATAACAGGAAATTGTGCCCACATCTCCCCTGGTTTGTCTGTGCCATTCTATACACTGGTATGGGACCCATCTTTGTAAATGTTTAATCTCTCCGCGCCTGTGGTTCCTTTCCAAAGAATCGCCCTCCTCAGCCACCTGACTCCACGCAGCCTTCCCGGTTGTATCTCTCCCGGTTGTGTCTCCCGGTGTTCCCAGGCATCAGCCCGGGTCCAGCCTGCGCGTCTAGCAGCTCGCTGTTCCCAAGGACTGGACAGCACTCCTTCCCCGTGCGCTCCGCCTGGCCCGAGGCGGGCGGTTCTGCAGCCTGGCTCCCCGGGCGAAGTCAGCCGCCCTGCCGGCTCGCCGGACGCTTGCACGGCCTCTGCCCTCGGCGGAGGGCGCCGCCAGCAGCAGCGCCTGCACACATCGGCGCGGCCGGGTGGCTCAGCGGGTAGCGCGCGGGAGGGCAGCGTGCAGCACCGGCACTCGGGAAGATCAGCGGCTGTCTTTGTTGTTGACATTATTGATTTTCGAGCTCTGGTTCCTCCTGCTCCCCCAGGGCACGCTCACCTAAGCAAGCCGGGTCAGAACTCCTCTCTTTGAGCCACCTTCCCGGCGCTGCCCGGCTCCCCG